ATTAGTGAATATGCAAAAATGTTTTAAAATATTATGATATTAATGTTTGGTGATTTTTAGATTTGAAGTTTATGCACTTTTAGTTATTCAAGTTTAGAGCAATAGATATATTTTTTTACTTGATTCTATTATCGTCGATATATATGAGCCCTATAAGTGATGCAATTTTGAACCTTTGGCTACAGGTGGCGTTTCGTTAGAAAAATTAAAATGAACAAATTCATTAACAATAATTAGAAAACTTTTAAACACGTGAATTTATGTTTAAAAACGTAGACTTCCTTCAGAAATTCATATCAAAATTTATTTAAAAAACTTACTACGACAATTTTATTGCAATGTATCTGTTGCATGGATTTTCACGCAATATTTTCGAAACCGAATGCTTATTTAATGTATATTAAAGATCAGCAAAGGTACAGTCATGTAGGCATTTGCTGATTATATACCATCCATAAAATAAACTTTTGAACTGACAACTGCAGCGCGTCAATTTTTAAATAAGGTGTCTATGCCACTTTGTTCATACATGTAATTTTGTCCGTATTACCCCTTCTACTCTAATTGTAAGTTGTATTTATTGGTTTTCATAAAACTGATGCCTCAGAATGACTAATTCTGAGTTGCTCATAGCACGGCCTCTCAATAGCCTCATCGTACGTTAAATTCGGTTTTTTTATAGCACGGTTGAATTTGATTTCTCGCTCCATTCGTAGGCAAATCATGCCAAGCAAATTGCATTTGGTATCTTCCTGTACCAAAAAATTAGCTTTTTGAAGATTTTGAAATTTTTGAAACAATTTGACTTTTTTTTAAACATTTGAAATATTTTTTTGTGTTTTGAAAGTTTTTTTTTCAAAGCAATCGCGCTGCATTAGTTGGGTATATAACGAGCGCGTACGCGCCGCGTTGCGGTCTAACGGATAAACATTGGTACGGAACCCGTAGAAATGTGAACAAAATTTGTACTTACGTGCTTATTTCTAATGTTCATTTTCGTCCGTCAAATCGTATTTTATTTCACTGTGACCATTTGATATCCGAATCCGCTAGACCTGTCCTCCTAAAAAATTGGATCAGTTGTTCATTTTATTAATACAAATAAAATGTTTTTTGAATCTTTCGAACCGGACGCTTTGTTATCTTAATAACTGACTTACCTATTTTGGCACTTTTTGTCCCGTATCTTCGTAACGGCTGGACCTGCCTTTGCTGAAAACTAATCAGCACGTCTCCCGATAAATGCGATTTTTATTTATTCAAATCGGTTATTAACACGGTTGATCCGTGTTAACTAAATCGTCGATGAAATTTGTATCCGCATATCTATTATAAACACACACGCACCCACACATACACATACACACACATATCGATCTTTTCTAAGGCATGCCAAAATGTTCAGAAACGCTCAAAGCTATGATTTTTTATGTGATTAAAAATGAACTGCAAATTATCTGCAATTGATTAGTTTTGTTGCATGAAACAAATTCATGTTTTACAAAATTATGTTATTAGTCAATACGAAATAGTTTTACTTATGTTTACCGAAACATTGGGTATATCAAAAAATAATGCTTGTGCATTTGTGACAAGTTGGCTAACGATTAATTATTGATTAAATTCAAGCATTTTGTAAGCAATAAAGAAGGCAAATATATAGTAATAGAATTTACATCTTTTCGGGTATTCTTCCCAGTTTAGTTGTTGAACAGATAAAAAAAAAATCTGCGCAGCATATGAGGTGGGGTGGGTAGTTAGCGTAGATTTTGCGTTACCTTTGCTGATGAATAATTACAAAAAGTTCTGCTTACATTCAAAAACTCACTTTATGTTTGATGAATATTTACCTTCAGATTGGTTCAAAATTTGGTCGCTACGGGCTCATATGTCGTTAGTTGAATTGATAATTCTCATTAAAATAATTCTAATTCCAATGGATTACAAGTCAAGTACTAACAATAAGTTTAGTAGCGTTAAAATTTTTAGGCTCTGTATCAAAATGGTATAATTTAAAAAAAAAACAATTCAACGCAATTCTTCTCATTAATCTCTAGGGTATAATGTTTTGTTTAATTTTTGATTATTTTCGATCACTGGAGGGGAACATCTCCGCCGATTCTTTGAACTTCGTGTTATTAGAGCTTATTTTGAAAGTGATGTAGGTTAATTAAGAATGTGATATAAAAATACATACATATATATTGTTATGTATATGTATGTATATACGCAGATTTTGTACGTATAGATTTATAACAAAATAAGAGTTATTGAAATGAATAATTTAATACCTTTGGTACAGAAATGGTAATATTATTATTGCAAAATAAGAATAATTAAAATAATGCTTTTGGTACAGAAATAACAATTTAATTTTAATTATATATTTTGCATGTTATTAGTCCGGTCTAGTCAATATATACTTTTGTTGTTGAATAGTAGTTCGAAAAATGACGCAGAGGCCTTGTCTAATTTGATTAAAACCAGAACGAACTATATGTTTGGAATATGAATAATATAGAGAGACATTTACATACAATATTTATAATTTATGTTGCATCTAAATACTATTAATATTCTCCAAAATAAAAAGAGGTGAAAGCATTAGAAATCTAATCACGGTTTGCAATGATAACGCCGCAATTGAACGGAAAATTAATTTATAGTAAAATTGCTTAAGTGGTTCTCGTCATGGTTTGATTTGAAATTTATGAATTAGATACTATAGACTTATACTACTAGGATCTAGCATCTTAAATAACGATTTTTACACATATTATATTTTTATCTGTTTCTATTTGGCACCATATGTTCAATATGCGACATGCATTGCACTTTTTAGAAAGCCAGTGATGGTCGTAATGCTAATACGATATTTGAGGTGTTAATATATTATGTGGTGCAACAACTTGTTTAAAATTTCAAAAGATACAATTTATATAATTAGGTTCTTGCATGTTATTTCAAACTAAGACTTGGGTTTTAATAAATAACTAGATAATATTATAAATAGCAACACTTTTAAATTGGGCATATGATTGTTATCGAAATGTCAAATCAACTAATTTTCACTCGTTTATATAGTATTAACAAATTATGCTTTAAACTTTTCATTATATTTTTTTATATCTGCCAGGCGGCTGCTCATTTCACGCATTCAGTTTCATTTTCTCATGCTAACAATAAAAGGGGCATAGCAAGGTGTATTTTGCATTTTAAAATATTCAGAGGCCTTATGTAAGAGAATCCATCATATTTTGAGTATTGTTGACAGTTAAATTAAAAATTACTTTAATAAGTGCACAAACAGAACGAGAAAGCTAATTTTATGCTAGGTCGAGGTCAAATTCCGCGTATTCGTACCATCGATCGGGAATTTTCAATTATCTTACAGTATTTTTTCTTCAAATATCTTGTAGGGTTCAGATTATAATATATATATATATATATATATATATATATATATATGTATTCAATAGAGAAAAACTTGCAAGGACCTAATTTTGGAGATATGATTCAGACCGTACATTCGATCTACTTTTATTAATTTATGATTTCAATTTTATTATATTGTTATGTTCATTTGTAACGTAGAATTCGATATGAAAATTTAATTGTATTTTATTCAAATGTTAAATAAATAATTCATTTGATTTAATTTTATTCTTATTATTTGGTACAGTAGCAAATTGAAAAATACAATCAATCTCGTAACAGGTTTATACATTGATTGTTTGAAACAAATTCTAACATTAACGCACATTTTCATTATGTCTCATTATATTTTATGATTTAAAGATACTGAAAATGCGGTAATAGTTTATTTTATTAACCAAAAAACCAACGAACAAAACAAAAATTACTGTTTTTATTTGTAAAATCAGTAAAATAATATTCTGAATTCACTTAAGCATAATGTTTTGGCGTTCACTAAAGCATGTAAGAGGCCACTATTTTATGAAAGCAAAGATATTTGCAAAAACTATTTTGAAGTTCAAATTCGTCAAAAATGTGTAAAGAAGTTAGTTTCTGATTTATTTTTAGTTTCAAAGTATATCTTTTTTTATTTTGGTTTAGAGGGTAATATTAGACTTTTTTATGTTTTAAAATCTAGTAAAGATTCATATAAGTACAAACAGATATAAATATAGTTTTCCGGTGCATTATTATTTGTTGTTTATTATATATCAGAATCATAAGAATCATGTAGCTTCAGATAAGAAACTTAAGAAATAATTAATAATTGTATATATATAAAAATTATGTAATAACTGGTGGGTCCCAAAAACTTGCACTTTTATAATAGTAAACATTCACTTTTATGGGCCGATTCTGTCGAAATGTTATAGCAAGGCTATGTTATGTTGCGGTTTTTATATAAAGTGGTACTAAAAACTGTCAAATTTCTAGAAAACGCACAAATGTAAAAAAAAGATGTTATCATAACAGAATCTTTGAGATATGGCTTGATAACATATGAGTGTAGTTGCATTTCATGTGTAAAACGAAATCTTATTTAGTAGCATTTTTAGTATGAAAGTTGGAACGTAACATAGCCTTGCCATAACATTGGACTATTTTGTGGCAGAATCGGCTCATTAGTTTCATTTCAAATAAAATTTCTTATCTTAAATCAAACCAGTTGTTTGTTATGGGCTGAATTTTCATAATAATTGTGGGTATTATACAATCGCTTATAAATAAAAATAACAACATTGAGGAAGTGTAATTGCCTCGGCCTTAAGTGGATAATTTGGTTAGCAGATGTAATATATCTTTGTTTAAGTTTAGTATCTATTCGACAATTGTCAGATATGAAGTTATATCATTTTATTGTTTTAATCCTAATGTTGACTAATGTTGAATTTAATTATATTTGATTACGTATTGAAGTTGAAAATGATCTCGAAAAGTAACTAAATAGATGAATGAATTCGTCAAAACATTTGAGTAGATAAAATGGCAACGGTGAGAACTAACCGGCGTGAATTTCATTGCAGGATCAAAAGCTTGGCATATGCGACTTACATTCGAACGTCTTCAGGGCGGTTGTAATTTGCACCGTTGCAAACTGTGCGGTAAGGTGGTGACGCACATTCGTAACCATTACCACGTGCATTTTCCTGGTCGATTCGAATGCCCGCTGTGTCGTGCGACATACACTAGAAGCGATAACTTACGCACGCACTGCAAGTTCAAACACCCGATGTTCAATCCGGACACCCGGAAGTTCGAGAATCTGCTGACGAGCTCGGCAAACAATGGTAACAGTGGCGCATCGACGCCGACGCCGACGCCGACGCCTACGCCGACACCGACGTCGGCGGCGTACGCGCGCAGCGCCCCAGCATCCGGCAATCTGAGCGAGAGCCTGGATTGATTGAGACTGAATTTTTTTGAATTATGTCAATGGATACGTCCGCACTACTATCATCCGAATCTGCCGTGATACTGTTGAATTGAACGGTGCTCGCTCGCTCGCTAAACCCAAACGGTTTCATTTTTAGGAATTTTCGCGATGGCGCGAGCAGCTTCGCTCATCACTCATATTGACATGAATCAAAAGAATTCGTTTTGCGCAATTCACTAACTCAACCATATAAACATTCTTCTCGAACAAATACAGCGATATTATGTATGAAGTACATAAAATGATTAAAGTATAATAGCTAAAATTAAATTTAATATTCATGTTACATACCTATATGCCGAGCTTATATCGCCTATGTAAATCGTGACACGACCTAATCAAGTTTACGCTGTGTTATTTAAAATTCTTATTGGACCAATTACAAAGGAAATATTTTTTTCAATGGGTAATCAGATTATAATTCTATGATATCTACAGATAGATCATCCCATGAAATAATGATTTCGTTTGATAAATTTTGGTAAAAATTTGCATTTCACGAAAATTCGTAAGGTCTTCTTACTTTGCCAATAATATTATTATTATTATTTTATTATTATTATTATTATAGTCATTGTACGTATTACTTTCATATATATTGTATTGTGATGACGCTGCATTAGTTTGCATTGAAGATGTAAGCACGGTATAAATGCTACTTTGTATAATATTCTTCCCGTATTTTATTATTACTGTATATTTTGTTTATTAATGAATGGATATCGATTGTATGGTATGTATTTGGCATATAAAGTTTTGTTGTATGCACATAATAGCATATATTTGATTTATGCTGGCCGTGTATATTTTTCACTCTGGCGCGGTTTTCACTGTTTTATTTATATTGAATGTTAAATATATTTTCATATGTCTAAGAAGCGGTTAGTGTTTTAGAGTAATAGTAGTGATCCATATTAAATTTTAAATCTAAATACTTTTATTTTTCTCGAAGCATATGTTAGTTATCGTCATATTTTTGTATTACAATATTTTAATTCATCTTTCATAAATATCATACTGGTTTATATGTCATCTACGTTTTTAAATCTCAATGTCAATGAAAATATTTATATAATTGATTTATTTTTTAAATACTCAATATTTCGACTCTTAGAAGTTTTGCAGTCTAACTTTTACATTGTGATAAAGTATGGTAATCTGGTCTTAGGTATATGAAATTATAATGGTGACAACATCATTAATATCTTTTGATAAGTTTTTATTAATATGTAAAAGAAATTACCTGAACTCATTGACCTATACCATACTTAATAAAATCATCTAATGTATATTTATTAGTTATCCTGAATGTACAAATTTCCAATGAAATGTGAGATTGTTAAAAGTTTTCTACTCTTAATAACATTTTTGCACAAGATACCTATTCTCGGATTAGAGACACAATAGTAATAAATGAACCAATGCAAGTTTTAATATTTGCGTATTGAAAAATTATTTTCTATTAGGTCGCAATACACAACGCGTTATGTACTTAGCTTCAAAAGTCGGCATATTATAATTCATTTGTTCTAGGTTGATAATTTAAGAACAATGTGTTGACGGATATGAGAGCGCAACGATTTTTGATTCTGTTTATCGGGTTGTTACAATTGTTGTCAGATTTCTTCTAAAGTTACAGCTATTTTATACAACTAAACTTGACTGCTATGATGTTACAATAATATATTAAATTTAATGAAAAGTGGTATGCATTAACTAATTTACATCCGTTGGTGTATGTTTTTTACAAGTGGTGCTGAATCCTTGTCAAATCAGTTAAATGATACTGGTTGTCTTCCATTATTTATTTATTATTTATATAAGGAAATCTTAAGGCGTTTTATGAATGAATTGCTTGATAAAGTTTTTTAATAAATATATTTATATATTTTTAAATATGAAAATAAATTAACCAAGCACATACTAAAACCATTATATTTGAATTCAAATTAATAACGTACTCATGTTTTCACCCTGTTATATTCAGTTTTATTTTTTTGTATTATTCAATAATAGTTTGCATGATAAGCAAAACAAAACAGTCTTGTTATTTTGTATTTATCAAAAATTAAAAGTGTAGTAATGCTGACCATTTGGTATTGAATGATTCAATCATTCAAATGTTAATTTCAAATTTTGAAGCTGATCACTGAGAATAGTTCTCTGTAAAATGTATTTAAATCAATTAGTTCATTGGGCGACTAGTTTATGTACATCATGTGATTTTTAGTATCTTGTTTAGTGGAACATCAAAGAATTGCTTAGGTCTGAATGCATAATCTTATGCTAGGGCTGAATGGTGCTGTAATTTAATGAAATTATTATATATGAATTGCCTAGCACTTAGAGATGATTAGAAAAAACGTTACTTTTGTATAAATGCTCGTGCTTACTTATACATGGTGAATTTATCTGGCTATGAACATCAGATATATAAATGAATTTATTTTTTGAATTAAAAACTATAAGTTATTGTGATTTTTTATGTGTATATA